CCTCCTCCTTTTTTTTCCCCAAAGCCCCAGCAGATAGTTGTATGTCATAGTTGCACATCCTTCTAGTTGCTGTATGTGGGACGCGGTCTCAGCATGGCCAGAGAAGCAGTGCGTCCCTGCGCGCCCGGGGTCCGAACCCGGGCGGCCAGTAGCAGAGCGTGCGCACTTAACCACTGAGCCATGGGGCCAGCCCCACCCATTGGTCTTTATTCTGTTCTCTGCAGCCTAGAAGACTAGTAATAGTAGTAATAACAGTAATACTAACAATAATAGCCAGCATTTTTAGAGCACATACCACTTGCTAAACTCATGTTATGAGATTTTTAATGAATATTTTCATTAAATGAGGTAAGCGCCATTATTATCCCCATTTTACAGATGAGGAACCCGAGGGAGAAAGGCTTGATGACAAGGCTAAGCCTCAAACCCACATCTGACTGCGGATTTCCAGCTTACAACCGCTAAGCTACACCAACACACAAGGGAAAAGATGAAGATGGCTGTCCTCAGTCTTCCCTTTTTTGGGCTAAACATCCTAAGTTCTCTGCCCCTGCCCGGTCAATGTGGCTTCAATGCCCCACACCATCCTTGGAACACCCGCCCAGACCTACAAAAGTATTTGAGTTTCTTGAAAGTATCCCGGGCCCCCTGTACAGCTTGCCCCACCCCCACTCGCGCTGCGGATTCCCAGAGGAGCTCCGGTCCTCCTCCAGCCAAACAGGGAGCCCGGACATGCAGACGTCCCAGGGGTGGCATGGCTCACCTGGGCCTCGGTGCCTCTTCTCCATCCAGATGTAGCAGTTGTTCTGGGCCACCCCGGTCTGCGAGTCCAGGAAGGGGAGACGCACGCTGCGCTCTGCGCACAGCCGGGAGTTATAACTCCGACAGTGCTCAATGGCTTCCTTGTAGAACTGGTCCCCAAGCCTGCCGGGAGACACAGAGAGGAGGAATGAGACCAGGGAAAACCGAACACACCCCGAGGGAAACTGATGTCACCCACCCTCCTTGGACATGTGGTGATGCTACTAATTTTAAGATGGTATCCTTTTCAAAGACCAAAAGTATAACGTTGGTAAAACTGAGAAAAATGTAAAGCATAAAAATAATCAATGAGATCAAATACCTAACATTGGAGGTTAAATGAATGGCCCAAGGAAATACACATGTAATAACGTAACCTTTGCCAGGTGAACTTGAGCTTCATAGCGGGGAGGAGGAGGAAGAGGCAGGAAGGGGAGGAGCCACAGGGAGTGCAGGGCCAACACAGAGAATCAAGCAGCTCATTTCGAAAGCGACATTATGAATGTCCTTTTGTTTTGGTTCTACGTAGATTTGAAGAAGCCGAAATCAAGGGGGGGAAAGTCTCTAAGTCAAAAATAATATATTTCTTCACCAAAATATTTAGAGGAATAAAGAAAGCAAAGTTTTACATAGGTTTTTCTACACTCTTAAAAAAAAAGTCAATGGGCCACAGTCTACCAAAGACTTTAAAGCAAACTTCTTATTCTGGGAGGATACAATCATTGAAGCTTTTGAGGCATCTTTTGGAAATTACTTGTTGACATGCCTCCTTAAAAAAAAAAAAAAAAAGCCCTTTGCTCCTTTTTCACCTCTGAACTTCTTCACCCTCACAAGGAAGGCATGGCTGAGCTCAGAAAGTGTCCTTGCAGTTGCAAAACCAAACTGTAATCCAATTATAATAGTCACACAGCTGGAAATGAATTGGGGAGGAGGGGTGAAAGCCCGTTAAAATGCTATAAAACAGAACAGCACATACGCTGATGTAATCAAAGTTGGTAAACAAGGATCATGAGATTGATCAAAAATAAAGAACCATTTCCTACAAAGTGTTCACATCTGTGTCCCACCAGCTCAAATGCCTCCTTCTGCTAAAGCAATGTAGCCCAGTGTAACAGAACTTTCCCGGGCAGCTCAGCTCAGACAAGATGACACAACCTGTCCAGAGTGTCCTGGATGCCCACGCCCCTCCACGAAACAGCGACCAGCCACACCACATTGATGAGAACTGACAAGAACACCTAACAGAGAGGTGTCTGATGTGAGAAACAGTTAGCTGCTTTCCCACAATCTTTTAACAGACTGTCAAAAAAGATGTTAACTATTCCAATTCCAAAAATTCTGTTGAAAGAGAACCCATTAAAAAAAAGAAAGATAAGAAAATTATACGCTAAAACTCATCAACTGGAGAGAAGAAGGTTTCCATTTTCAAAACAAACTCTTGGAAGCCAATACAAAGGAAATCTACAGTAGGATCTCAAATCAGACTTTTCCTGATATTCTCGTAACTTACTTCCAACAGCTTCAACCCAACAGAGAGGACCAAGAAAGTGAACTTGCTGAAAATGAAAAGTGAGGTTGGCCACATTCGTGCCCCACACTGAATGGAACAAGAATGTCAAACAAAATGACACGCTGGGCGAAAATTAATTTCATCTTAAATACTTTCCACTTTCATAACATGCAATGTTATTAGTAACAGGCATGCTGGGGGGAAATGTGTATTTTTAAATGTAATCTTCGTGTGAATGATACCTCTCTTATGTAAACAGAAAAGACTTTCTGTGGACTGGAAAAAGTGTATTAAAGATGGGAGCTGCAAAAATGCAACATCCAGCACCTTCTCTGCCATCGTCTCCAGGGAAGTCACTTTAAACAGCCCAGGCATTGGCAGAGATTCGGAAACAAAAGTTTAAAGCCTTTTTCAAGATATGGAAGGAGAAAAGAGACTTCAACCTCCTTGATAAATTCAAGGAGCACTTCTCCAAAAGTTAATTAGCCAAAATCTTCACAGGGCTTGCTCTGCTCTCTAGAAGAAAATCAATGGCCAGGTCTCCCTAACCCATGGGAAGCAATCTAAACAGGAGAGAAGACAAATGTCCTTTTCAATATGGCATTTCGTAAAAAGAAAAAAAAAAAAATTCCACAATGATAGGGTTCTAGGGGTGACATTTGCATTCAAGTTGCAAGGGGCAGAGGGAGCAGAGAAAGGCTGGCAGTGAACGACTCATTTTGCAGAGTGGTGACCAGCGTGCCCCAGGCCTGGTCTGCCTGGCCCAGCCTCAGCCATCAGTTGTCTGCACCAAACCAAGGGAGCTGGATTACCACGGGGTGATGGATGTTTCAGGCTCGGAGAAGCTGGCGCAGGCAGAGTAGAATGATGTTCTCATCAACACTGACTCCAGGCTACTCAAGGCTGCAATCAGAAGCAGGAAAGGCAAAAGGCATGGATTGCTGGGCTCTCCGCCAGAGCAGGAGCCACCGCCCCCCCCCCAAAGCCTGCTGCTTGGAGCCTTGCTGGCTGCCCAGTTCTGGGGGCATTGTGAGGGGTGAGAGCCCTTAGAAATCCCATCTGGAGTGAGGGAGCCATCTGAGTTCTGAGAGCTTTCCAGGGAACTTCCTTGAGCATATCTGTGAAGAAATGGCTTCCAGGGGGCCAAAGAGGATTCAGAGTGGAAAAAAATGAGACTTCTCCAAAATGATTGCCAACTAGGCTCCAAATATGATTTTCAGAGCCTACCACAGCCCCTCCAAGACCCTCTGCTCCTCTTCTTCACGCTTCCAGCTCCCCCTCTTGAGACCTCGCCTGTTCTCACAGATTCCACATCCACTGTTCTGAGCTGACTCTCAGGTCCAACTCTCCAACCCAGACACCTGGGGCCCCTCCCTCTTCATGTCCCTCTAGTCCTGTGTTCTGACCCAAGGACAGGTGTCCTGCCATATCTCAATCACGTGTCCAAAAGCAAATTCCTCATCTCCTGCCAGAAGCCTGCTCCCTCCCCAGAGTCCCCATTCTTCTAGGGGTGGGGGGGACCTGAGGGAACACTGCTCTTGTATCTCTCCAAAAAGTCGTCCTTGGCCCTTCCCTTTCTTTCATCCCATCTGGCACTGGATTCTTTCATTTCTCAGGGAGTTGGCGCTTTCTCTGCCTTCCCACTGCATGGCCACAAGTCCCCTTTGGCTGTAAAAAACAGGACCTTGGCCCATCACTGCTATTTGTGCACATAAACAGAGATAAGCAGAGATAAAGAGAAGCCCTGGCCTGTAGCAGGATTTCTGGCCCCTCCTTCCCCCCCACCCCCCGAGGGCCCCTCTTCTCTGTGGGCACCTGGATTGCCTGCTGTCTCACTCAGCTGCCCACACTTCCACGACTGCCCACAAACACACGTTAAAACTCGTCTACACCAACATGCTAACTTCCTTCTGTTTGCATTTAAACGTGTTTAACTGCGGCATGGAAAGCTGTCTCCCGTTTATGTAGTGTTTTATTATAACCAGCAAGCAGGAGCAATGTTTGGCAGGGTGGGGGGAACTTTTCATCTTCCTCGCAGTTACACTGGTCCTAAAGCTGCCCTTGAAAGAAAGCCAAGTTTAGTGTTTGCTATGGACTGAACTGTTCCCCCTAGAAATTCGTACGTCGAAGCCCTAACCCGCAATGTGATAGTATTTGGAGATGGGACTTTGGGGAGGTAATTGGGTCATGAGGGTAGAGCCCTCTTGATGGGATTAGTGCCCTTATAAGAACAGAGAGGAGAGCTCCCTCTGCCATGTGAGGATACAGCCAGCAAGAAGGCTGATGTTTGCAAGCCAAGAAGAGGATCCTCACCAGAACACGACTATGCTAGGACTCTAATCTCAGACTTTCCAGCCTCTAGAACTGTGAGAAATAAATGTCTGTTGTTAAGCTGCCCAGTCCATGGCATTCTGTTATAGCAGCCCAAGCTGACTAAGACAGTGTTTCTGATATTTAACATAGGAAAGGGCTATAGAGGATGAGTGAGAGAGAGATGCCAATCCCCTTCCTCCCTCATTCTGTCCTGTTCCAACAAAGACATCAATAATACTATTAATGATGTCAATTCAACTCAATCCAATGACTCATACTTGTCTTCCCTACTAACCTATCAACTCCGTGAGGGCAGGGACTACATCTGCAGGGCCACTGCACACAGCCACCCAGGCTTTGCACGTAGCAACTCCAGGGGGTGCCGTTCATATAAACTTCAATGTGAAGTGTAACACTGGAGCAGTGTAACCCAGCAACCCTGCAAACCTGGCCTTTTTACTGATGCCCCCCAGGGTCCAGTACAGAGCCCAGCACACAGTAGGTGCCCAATAAGTCTTTGCTGAATTGCTTTCAACAGCAACTCATATCCCACTCGCCTATGGCAGGTGTTTAAATGAGAACAGTAAAGCATATGCTGCGTGCACGTGCGCGTCTTCAGAGTCTGATGCGCATATAGCTTGGTGATTTAGATTGCATGGCTGTCTGCTCGCAACTTTAGAGAAAATTGAGAGAATGTCTGCAATCACTCTCATTTAGTCCTCATCACCGGGCTCCTGGGTCATTGCAACAGTCTCCTGGCTGCAATCACTATAGCTCTTCTCTTACCCGTCCTGACAAAAAGAAATCTCCCTCAAACCCAATTTTTAGTCTTCTGTTCCTCAATGTAGAAGCCAAGATGGCTCCCAATGGTACCGAAATTCCTCTGGCAGGCTAACGAGGCCCTTGGAGAGCCGAGGTACTGGGGCACAGCGGGAAGAACAGAGACTTGGAATCAGGCAGATCAGAGTCCAGCTCCACTGCTTACTGTCTACACAACCGTGGGGCAAGTTACTCAACCCACCTGAGCCTAAATTCTACTCCCCACAATATGGGTAACAAAACCCCCACTGCAGGTCTGTGAGAGAATTAAATGAGATGGAGTCTCCAGCACACAGAGGTAAATGCCCATAATCAATGGCGGTTCCTTTCTCCTTCCCCCAAAGAGCAGTGTTGTCTGCCACTTTGTGACACGACCCTCTGCCTGAGCGGGCTGATGCTCTCCATGTGCCACAAATTCCCCCCACACTCACTACTGCAGTGTCTTTGAGGCTGTCAGGTGCCCACCCAGACCTCTGTCCTA